GAGCCCAAGGGAATCGCTGGACAGGGAAGGGTAGTTGAGCTACGCGCAACTACCGGACCTGAGGAGGGGTCAGCTAGCGCGACAGCGGCAGGAACGGCAAGCGGCATGAGCGTAGTGTGGTCATGGAAGAAGCAGGCAGACACACCCGAGTCCAGCATGAAAGAGAGCGAAGTGGTGGCGGCAGCCGGCGGAGGGGCTAGCATGGAGCCTTGGCTGAATAAGGTAGACGGTCCTACGCCTGACGCAGCAGGGGAGCCTAAACTACACTGAGGTGGCACACCTACACTAGGCAACACAGGGTAATAAGATCCGAATACACTAGAGTCATCAGCATACATGGCATGCAAGGCAGAGCAAATCCGATCCATATCCATCTCAAAGACCGGAACACGATGACGTACCTGACTGGTCCAGTCGGGGAGGTCCGGCGCAGGGCCGAAGTGGAGAAGGAAGAGGTCGTCAAGGCGGCGGAAACAGCGGGCAGCAGTGTGGCTGGGACGGCCATATACAGTGCCACGGAGGTGGTCGGGTTGGAGCTGGTACTGGCAACCTACAGAGCCGAAGCTACCACCCGACACCGAGCTACAAGGGCCGACACTGCGGCCACCACAACCAGAGGCACCGGGTCACCCCGGTGGGAGGCAGCCCAACTGCTGCGGCTGCTGCTGCGACTGCTGCTGCGACTGCGGCTACTGCTACTGATGGTGCTGAGGTTGGTGGTGCTGCTTCTCCGGAGCACCAGCCCCGGTCCCCTCGTCTGAACCACCGTCCCCGCCCCCACCTCCACCACCCCCACCACCCCCACCACCCCCACCACCATTCCCTCCGCCACGCCCCCCCTTGGGACGGCGACCCCTACCCTGACGCGGCTGCGCTGAGGCCGCAGCGACGGTCTCAGCGGCAGGGGCTGTCTCAGTTACAACGACCGAAAAGTTAGAGTATGTGCATTGGGAGGGAGAAAAGCCCTGAAAGATAGGGACTGCCGCAGTACCGCTAGACTGAGTAAGTGCGCTGGCAGGTCTCTATGTCAGATTGGGCGGTAACAAAGGCGGTAAGGGTGAGGTCACCAGTGTGCTGACTAAGGAAGTGGTCACGGGCAGTGGCAAGGTGGTCCGGGAGGCGTGTGGCAATAAGGTAAAGGGTAGCGCAAAGGGGCGGCGAGAATGCAGTGAGCTGGGCCTCAGTGCTAGCGGTGCGGTAGCTAGTCTCAAGGGCACGGAGGTGAGTGGCTAGGTCAGCGACAGTGGGGAAGGACACAAGATCAGGGAACAGCATTGGGAGGATCAGGCAGCCAGCAGAGGCTATGGTGGGCGTGGAATAGCGTGCAACGACTGCATCTAAGAATTTCTTGGCGTTCACTACAATGGTAAAGCGGGGACGCTCAGACAGGGGGAGGGCGTGACTAATAGCAAGCTGCGCTACGGCGTCGCGCCACTCCCGTATAGCACGAGTAAGCGCAGCAGCGGAAAATGCCTCACGCTCAGCAGGTGTGGGGGGATCAGGGAGGGCAGCATGAGCGGAAGGACGGGGAAGCAGACCATCGACATGAACAGCCAGAGAGTACCTGTCCTGGCACTGACCTGTCATATGACGACGATGGTCGACGAGCCAGGCCTCAAAGTCGATCGCCTGACCCTCCGCATCCAGGGGGAGCACAGCGTCCACCATCCTACGACCTCAGCCGCTGACGTCAGCACGACGGTACGGCGGTACAGCGGCAACGCGACCCGGCGACACGGCGGCACAGCAGCACAGCGACACGGTGGCATGGCGACACGGCAGCACGGCAACATGGCGGCACAGCAACACGGCGACATAGCGGTACGGCGTCACGGCAGCACGGCATGACGGTGGCACAGTGGGACCGAGGTCAGCGCGAGGGAGACCGGCAAGGAAGGGGCCGGTGAGTAAAGGGGGGGGTGGGGGGAGGACGGCGAGCTGGGGGGCGGCTAGTAAGGGGCCGGCGGGCTGGGGCCGGCAAACGAGGGGCCAGCGAGCTAGGCGGCCGGTCTGCGCGGGGCCGGCGAACGCAGGCCAGCGAGCACGGGGCCAGCGGGTGTGGACCAGCAAGCGCGGGGCCGGCGAGTGTGGGCCAACGAGCACGGGCTGTTAGAATACGAGAATGACTGGAAATAAGAGTGTACAGGGAAGATACAGGGTTGGAGTTGTACTCTCTAAGAACACAGACCTATCTAGCCTATAACTTCTACATACAAATACATGTATAAATTGACACACCCCCTAGGCTAGATAAGGGGCTGTGCTGAGCAAGAAACATGCAGCTCAAGGTGGCACTACTAGTCCAACCTCTGAGACAAGGGGTCTGAAGACCAGTCAGCAAGAGTACAAACAAGACAACAGCAAACAAAAGTGGCACTACTACTAGTCTGGCCACTGGAAGAGAAGCCATAAGGCCACTGTGAAAGGTGCATATAAAGAGGTGAACACAATCAAGATCCTAGCAAGTGAGAATCTACAGGAACTAGACCAAGCTGCAAACAGTGCCGCTGGTGATCTTTCGACGCAAGCGCCTTACTAGAGATATCAGCTATGCTGGCACAAGAGGCCAAGTGTACTACGCGGGCCTGGCAACGCTGCTGTAGCTCGCGCAGGAGGAAGTACCGCAGCTGGATGTGCTTCGCTCTGCCCTCCAGACGAGGCTCTTGACACGGGAGGATCATGGCCCTATTGTCAGCGTACAGAACCGGGGCAGAGCTAGGCTGCTCACCTAAGTCGGTGAGCAAGAAGGTTAGCCAGCGGAGCTCCTGTGCCGCCATGGCACCGGCGTAGATCTCAGCCTCACAGCTAGACTGGGCAACAGACGAGGAGCGAGTGGACCTCCACGAGATGGCACCCGAACCAAGGCTAAAGCAGTAGCCCTGGGAGGACCTGAGGGTCTCAGCGTCGTCTGCCCAAGAGGCGTCTGTGTGCCCAGTAAGGACCACTGGCCTGCGTCCTCCCAACACTTGCCACATGCCCGATGTACTTGCTAGATAACGAAAACCCTCTTAGCGGCCGACCATTGCTGTGGTCAGTGTCTGCCTGTCGCCACAAAGCGAGCTAGGAGACTGAGATATGGACGAGTGCAAGTCATCAGGTACATGAGGCAACCCACTAGCTCTGTGTAAGGACCACTGGGCTCTAATGACTCCTCAGGAACTGGAGCTGAGAGCTTGTGATCTACTGGCAGGAGTGTGGGCTGTGCGGAGGAGAACTGAAGGCCGAACCTCTAAAGGACCTGGCGCACCAAGTGTGACTGTGTGAGAGTGATGGTGCGCGCTGCTCTATCCCTAGAGATCTGCAGGCCAAGGTAGCGGCGCAGCTCTCCTAGGTCAGTGCAGCTGTGTCTCCTCAGCAGCTCAGCCTTCACGAATGCCAGCGCGTCTCTGTCTGCAGTAGCGAAGACCAGGTTGTCTACGTAGACAAGGATATAGAGCAGAGTCTGGCCAGCACGAACGAAGAGCGAAGGGTCTGCAGAGGACGGAAAGAACTGCAGGTCAGCTCGCGTAGCACGCAGCGTGTCATGCCATTCACGGGGCGCCTGTCGCAGGCCGTAGACCGGGCGCCGGAGGAGCCACTGGGTCCCAGGGCGGAAGGTACCGGTGAAGCCTTGAGGACGGCGCAGGTAGACCTGCTCGTGTCGGCTGCCCTGAAGGAAAGCAGTGGAGAAGTCGAGGGAGTGGAGCTCGCAGTTACGATGTGCTGCTACGTGTAACAGTGCCCGAAGAGTAGTCATCTTCGGGGTCGGGGCGAAGGTCTGAAAGAAGTCCATCCCCTCTTGCTGACAGAAGCTTCTAGCCACGTAGCGTGCCTTGAACACATGCGGCTCTCCAGACGGGCAGAGGTTTTCGGCATGATAGACATGCTGGAAATTTTACCTGACAGATGTGATGGTGCACACGCTTCTAGTTGGAGGAGCTTTAACGAGCTCACCTACTAACCGCAAGCCAATCCTCTATTCTGTCGGGTCCTCTACCGATATAAACGGACTACTCTACGGAATACTAAGCGGGCAAGAACGCAGCTCTGATACCAACTGTGATGAATTTATCAGAGTAATAAGAGGTAGTGTAATAACGAAGTCGTGATACAAGAGTGTCGATACAATGAGGGCCTAGGCATTTATAGGCACGAACAGAGCTAGCTGAGAACCACACGATCAGGTTGGGGCGGTCCGGTTGGCGAAAGCTGGGGAAGCGCTGCGCGCCTAGGGTTTGGGTTCGTGAAGTGGTTCGGGACCGAAGAAGTTGGCCGGGCCTGGACATTCGAGAGTCGAGGGCGTAAGCGATGTAGGAAAAGGGAATTTCCTTACATTGTTTCTGATGTGTTGAGTGGTTCCTTTCTGGGGTTTGCATCCCACCCCTGTAGCGTCGCACAAACATGTGCGAGAATGTCTGCTACTTCCCGTCGCAGCATAAGACAAGGGCACCGACCATGTACAGTGCACTACAGACAGCGCCGCAACTGACTAAGTGAAAAAACGCCTGCGTCGCACAGCCCCCTTCGAACAGAGCAAATTCCGACAATCTTGGAGCTTGCTCTCTTCGAGTACGACCTCTAGAAGGAACCAGTTCTATATATATATCCTTTCCATTCCACACATACACCTGTTCTCCTATTTAGTCCCACGGTTTTTGCACGTGGCTTGAGCCTGTAAGCAGGAAATTGTGAAACACGGGCAAAGGGGACTTCCAAGGGGAAATCCCAATGAGAGCAATGACACTTGGTTACAAAATCTCGCTCATGCACTAGATTAGTTGCCTGCGCGACGTCCCAGCTCTGAGTCTCGCAATTGTCGAAATACAACTTGGCTGTTCGCTATCGTTCAGACTGCAGCCAATCAGGTTCAGTGTCAACGCGAGTCATGCTGAGAACCTGGTAGGTGAGATTGCAATTTGGACTGTTCCCGGTGGGACAATAGAGGGGAAAAAGTGTACATTGGTGTGCGGTCCGCGATCTGCGCACCCTCCGACCCAGGGCCGCGCCTTCGTAACCTACTTCCTCGCCTCCGTCCTGCCAGCCCCCGACCCCCTCCGCCCAAACTCTCCCGTCCAAACCTCTCCGTTTTCCGCCGACGGCGGCATTGGAGCTCAAGCCTGTAAGCGACGGCACTATCGAGGCGCCTTGTAATGGGGTGGGTGCCGTCCCTCACTCTGCGCTGCTCGTCCTTCGCGCACCCCGCGCAGCGCCACCACCGCGACCTCTCCGACTTCCCCCTCCGCTGCGCGCTCGAGCTGCTGCTGCCCCTCCCCGCGCCTGCCGAGCCTGCCGCCCAGGTACGGCGGCCGTGCAGCGCCGCGTCGCGATTGATTGCCGTTCTCCCCGCCGTCGCTGTCAGCGCCAGTCGCCGCGGCTCTTTATTAATCGTGCCGTGGGCTTGCCTTCTGCCCCCGAAGGAAATAGCGCGGGTTCGACGGCCCTTACCCCAATCACTCCCCGCCTACCCCTTCCCGCTTCCCTCTTCCCCCTTCCCTCCTCCCCCCTCCCTCCCTTCCCCCCACCCCCCCACCCCCACTCCCGCCCTCCCGCCGCCGCCTCTCGCTCCGTCCCCCCTTCCATCCCCAGGCCGCAGTGGCGTCTCTCGCCGCCGCGGTGGACCGGGTGACCTCGGCGGGTTACCACATCATCCGAGGGCCGCTCGGCGCGCTGCTGCAGCCCGCCTTCCTGGACGCGCACGTGCGCGCTGGCGGCGGTGAGAGGGGGGGACGACGAGAGGGGGGGGGGGGAGAGATGGATGGAAAGGGGGAGGGAGGGGACGAGGAGGTGAGTGGAGGGTGAGGGGAGGAGAGGAGACGATTATTGGAGCGAGCGCCGCTGTGCTTTGATGGCCGAGAGCAGAGGGCAGAGCGGCAGGCAGGGGAGTGATGGGTAGGGGTGTGGACCAGATGAGGTTGGCGGTCTGGCAGGAGAGGGTAGAGCGGGCGAGGCCAAGCGATTGACTGGCTGAGTTGAGTTCTCTTGCTGCTGTTTCCTCTCCCTCACGTGCGTGCACCGCCCTCCCCCGCTCGAACCATTCCCTCCAATTCCCAGCCCCTTTTCACCACGCCCACCATTTTTACTGCGCGCCCCACCCCTCTTCACTCCCTTCCACCATTTCCTTCCCTCTCCGCCTCTCCCTCCTCCTTCAATCCCTTTCTTTCCCCCCCCCCCCCCCCTCTCCCCTCCCTCCCCACGCGCTCCCCTCCTCTCCCGCACCTCTCTCCCCCACCCACATCACCCCCCTCTCCTCTTCCCCCCGCCTCTCCCTTCCCCCCAGTGGAGTTCTGTCTGCTGAGCCTGGGTGCAGCTGCCTCTGCCCTTCCGCACGCTGACAGCATCAGCATCACGCCCTCAGGTGCGGTGTGCGGCATGGAGCAGTGCAATGGGCCCCACAGACCAGATAGGCGAGCGTCAGGTGCGTCTGTGCTGTTACCCTGGCCTTATGGACTGGATGCTTCTTCAAAACTCTCTCTCCTTCACCTCCCGTGCTTGCCCAACCGCGCTTCCCCACCCCATCTCTCTCTTTCCCTCTCTCTCGCTCTCACGCACACACTCCCCCACCCCCCCAACCACACACACTCCCTCCCTCCCTCCCTCCCTCCCTCGCTCACTCACTATGCCACTCGCCCTCAGGCCAGCTGCGCATGGCAGTGAGCAGGGACACCTTCCAGCGCCTGGGGCTGCCAGGGAAGGCGTCAGTGGCAGCACCGGGCGAGCAGTACTGTGAGTGCCATCCCTGCCAGTTCCGTCATTTACCCAGTGCCTCGCCCGCAAGCAAATCTACTCACCTGACATCCACCCTCTTGCCTCAGTACTACGAGTGATTCGCGCGCACCCATTACTCCTGTGGTTCTCCTGCCAGCCATCCATTTCCAGCGAATGCTTCACCTGAAAATGATTCCTCTATGCTTCATGCTGCTGCGTCGCGTACCTCCGTGCTCGTTAACACATTACGTCCCTCCTTCCGCTCCCTCCCCCTCCCTCTCTTCCTACCTCCCACTCCCTCCCACTCCCTCCCACTCCCTCCCACTCCCTCCCACTCCCTCCCACTCCCTCCCACTCCCTCCCACTCCCTCCCACTCCCTCCCACTCCCTCCCACTCCCTCCCACTCCCTCCCACTCCCTCCCACTCCCTCCCACTCCCTCCCACTCTCGCTGTGCCTTTCGCCCCATCCCCCCATCCCCCCTTGCAGTCATCTGTGTTGACCTGTGTGCAGCATCCTTTGTCCCGGGCAAGAAGCTGCACGACAAGGTCAGAGGAGGTGTAGGGAAGGGGATGGGGAAGGGGGGAGGGGGGAGGGAAGATGTGGAAGGAGGCGGTGGAGGAGATTGGTGCGCAAGGAGGTCACGGGAGTGCAAGGGTGAGAAGCAGCAGGCAACGGCCACGAGCATGACCGTGAGCCCATGCTGCTGACACGCGCACTGTGCATCACTTCCCATCCCATCCCCCCCCTCAGGTGGTGGAGCGTGTGGGCAACCTCATCCCGGCCTCGCTGGACTACCTCTGCCTCTTCACACGGGGTAATCCATGACTGCACCACCCACATGCACGGCACCACACACATGCACGGCACCACACACATGCACGGCACCACACACATGCACGGCACCACACACATGCACAGCACCACACACATGCACGGCACCACACACATGCACAGCACCACACACATGCACGGCACCACACACATGCACGGCACCACACACATGCACGGCACCACACACATGCACGGCACCACACACATGCACGGCACCACACACATGCACGGCACCACCCACATGCACGGCACCACACACATGCACAGCACCACACACATGCACGGCACCACACACATGCACGGCACCACACACATGCACAGCACCACACACATGCACGGCACCACACACATGCACGGCACCACACACATGCACGGCACCACACACATGCACAGCACCACACACATGCACGGCACCACACACATGCACGGCACCACACACATGCACGGCACCACACACATGCACGGCACCACACACATGCACGGCACCACCCACTGCCAGCTGCGTCGACCACCTCACCTGACCTCCGCACATATCCACGGAATGGCGTTCTCAATGGTGTCTGTCTTTCCATGCATGCAAGTCTTCTGAAGCGTCTATGTCCCCAGAGCCCCCCCTCGTTCTCGCATGTGCCCTCCCCTTCTTTTGCCTCTCCCCTCCTCCAGATGGCGTCCCTCAGTCCATTGAGTTCCCCCAACCAATCACGGCCTGCCACGTGCCCTTCTCTGCCATCCACCGAGCCCTCTCCCCTGCCTGCCTGCCGAATGTCCTCATCATGAGTGAGATTGCGGCGCCATCAAGCGGTCTGAGAGGCGGCGAAAGAAACGAGGGACCAGAAGAGGCGAAGAGAAGGGGAGGAGGAGCGGTAGGAGGAGGAGGAGAGGGAGAAGCTATGGAGTGCAGTGCTGCTACACCCATTTCTTCAGACCGCACTTTCTCCAAAAAGACAGGGGAAGGAGAGAGCGGGGCAGGGGCGGGTGGAGTGGAGCAAGGAGTAGGGGAGGGGAGAGCGGGTGGTGGTGGCATAGCAGCAGTGGCATTGGAGATGCATGAATGGATAGGAGCAGCATCATGTGGCATCACACGGCACATGTAAGACGCGACGCCAATGTCCCATGGCACAGCTATGCATTTGAAGCATCTTCGCCGCTTTGCATGAGCGTGATTTCTATGCATGGCATTTTACAAGTGGCAGATTATAGCAGCTTCCTTATTCGGTCTTGCTTTCTCGCTGCCCTGCCCTGCCCATCGCACACACACACTCGCACGTGCACCTGCTGCCATCCCAGGAACGAGTGTGCGCGCAGAATGGGCTCAATGCTGGGCCACACTGCTTGCTCGCTGGACCTAGCCTCACACGTGACATCAGCAACACCACCGGTGACGTCAGCAGCTGCTGGTTCAGTACACTCCTTGCGAGTGTGTGGGCCAATCAACAACTCACAGGTGTGATTCAAGAGCGGGTGACATCTATGGAGCCAGTCCAGAGTGGCTCTGAGTGCCATGTGTAACCCATAGTGTATCACACCTCTGCACTGCACCTGCCACGCAGAATTGCCACCATCCGCGGCACCACCTCCCGTGCTGCACAGCCCTTTGGCTGCCTCACCGCCGCATTTGCCCAGCTGCCTGCATGTCTGCATGAGGAACGGGAAGGGCGTGCCTCCCTTGCACTCACACTGCGTGAACTCTTTTGTGCCTGCTCTCGCTCTCCCTCTCCCTCTCTCCTTCCCTTGCTGCAGGTTCTAGTGCTCATCAATGCTGTCAGGTATGTCTCCCTCCCTCCCCCCCCTCCTCCTCCTCCTCCTCCTCCTCCTCCTCCTCCTCCTCCTCCCTCCTCCTCCTCCTCCTCCTCCTCCTCCTCCTCCTCCTCCTCCTCCTCCTCCTCCTCCTCCTCCTCCTCCTCCTCCTCCTCCTCCTCCTCCTCCTCCTCCTCCTCCCTCCTCCTCCTCCTCCTCCTCCTCCTCCTCCTCCTCCTCCTCCTCCTCCTCCTCCTCCTCCCCCCCCCCCCCCCCCCCCTCCTCCTCCTCCTCCTCCTCCTCCTCCTCCTCCTCCTCCTCCTCCTCCTCCTCCTCCTCCTCCTCCTCCTCCTCCTCCTCCTCCTCCTCCTCCTCCTCCTCCTCCTCCTCCCTCCTCCTCCTCCTCCTCCTCCTCCTCCTCCTCCTCCTCCTCCTCCTCCTCCTCCTCCTCCTCCTCCTCCTCCTCCTCCTCCTCCTCCTCCTCCTCCTCCTCCTCCTCCTCCTCCTCCTCCTCCTCCTCCTCCCTCCTCCTCCTCCTCCTCCTCCTCCTCCTCCCTCCATCCTCCATCAGGTTCGCTCTCTTCCCTTCCTCCGCCACCCCTCCTGTCTCGGCCACTTTCTCTTCTCTCCTGCTCTTGCCATTTGTGTTTCCTCTCTCTATGTACCACTCTCTCCTCTGACGTTCTCTTGTCGCCTTTCCTCCCTCGCTCTCCCTCGTTCTCTCCCGTGCGAAGCACTCAACCACCATCAGAGGGACTGCTTGCACTTCCACCCCCCATTGTTTTGTGTGAGCGCTCCCATTCCCACTCTTTGCATCTTCCCTGTATCCACTACCCCCCTGCCCACCCCATGCCATGCCACCCCATGCCACATGCCTGCAGATCCACTCTGGAGCAGCAGAGCGCATCCTCTCCCTCCCTGCCCTGGGCTGTCGTCAACTGCTGGAGCTTCTCCTCTGCACCTGTATGCTGCCCCTCCCACTCTCCCCCGCATCACACTCCCCCCTTGACACAACCGCCTTGACACAACCCCCTTGACACAACCCCCCCTGACACTCCCTTCCCACCTTCCTATCCCACCTTCGTGCTCTCTCCCATAGGATGCAGTTGAAGCACGCCACGTGGTATTACCTCCTGAGCCCTAGGTCCAGGGTGTGGTCACGTTTAGCCGCTGCTTCCACCCGATCAGTGCTGCCACGCCCACCCTTTCTTCCTCGTGGTTACTCTTTGCCGCTGCCTTCGCCATTCTCAGTTACAAAAGCTCGCTTAGAACATAACTGCTTTTCCAACTTGCTAAACTACTCCCACCACCGCTGCTCATGTCCGAGGATCTGTTAAGGCCGGGCTACACTGGGCTCGAGCTGGGGCTGGAAACCGAGCTCGCGGCTCAATGCTTGGCAAATTGGCGAATGAAAATGCTGAATTTCTGCATTTCTGCGCGACATTGAGCTCCGGGCCCGGTTTTCTGCCCTAGCTCGAGCCTAATGTAGCCCACCCTAACCGCTCAGTGCTGCCACACCCATGCTTTCTTCCTCATGGTTACTCTTTGCCGCTGGCGCTCCCCTTGCGATTTGCTCTCTCGCATCACATATGAAGAGATTCCTGTACTTTACCCCCACCCGTGCCCCTCCCCCCTCCCCTTTCTCCTCCCTCCATCTCTCCCCTTCCCCCCATCTCTCCCCTGCTCCCATCTCTCCCCTGCTCCCATCTCTCCCCTGCTCCCATCTCTCGCTGCAGGCTCAGAAGCGGGACGGACGGCGGCAGGAGTCGAGTGAGGCGGGCGAGTCACAGGCGTTCGTCATCCTGCCCTCTGACGCCTACATGCTCTTCTCGTGCGCGCACCATGGGGGGGCATTGGGGGAGCACGGGGGGGGCATGGGGGGAGCATGGGGGGAGCATGGGGGGAGCATGGGATAGCATGGGGGCAATATGGGGGGAGCGTGGGGGTAGTGTGGGGGGAGCATGGGGGCAGCATGGTGTCTTGAGGGGGCAGCAAAGGTGCAGCCAGTCACAGCTGTGCTGGTTGTGTTGTGAAGTCTGCACTGTCCCATCTCTCCATGCCTGCCTGTATGCATGTCCATATTCATGCCCATGCCCATGCCCATGTCTCAATGTATGCGTATGTCCATTCCCCCCCACCCCCTTCCCTCGCCAACCCCCCTGCATCATCATGCGCACATGGCAGCACCAGATAGCGATTGCTGCCTCGCAGGCCATCTGCCCAGCGTGTTCCTACGGCCTCTTTCCGGACTCGCCCCTACTCAGGCACGTGAGCGACAGTACAGTGCAGTTCTGATGCAAATAGCTTCAATGCGGTTCAGCGCAGCACAGTGAGTCTGGGGTTTGGTTGGCCTGGGAAGAGGCTGTAGGAACGGGCTCCAAGTAGCCCCACCTCATGGCCTTCAGCGCATTACAGGCCATCTGCCCAGCACCGGTAACCGCACGACATTGGTGCCATGCGGTGCGGCGTGGTGCGGTGGGTGGGTGGATTCCCAGTGCTGCTGCCTAGCAGAGGCAGGTGCTGTCCTCATGTCATGCTGAGGCAGCAACAGGCAGCAGGTGCACTTGCCATCGCAACGGCTGCTAAGCAGTTCGCTCTGTTGCTTGTGCTATGCTCCCTGGTAGTGCCAACTGTCCCCTTCACAGAATGCTGTAACCAACCAACCAATTGCAGGGTTCTTTCCAGATTGAGCCTGCATTTGCCACTGCATGGCAAATATCCTTGGGGTTGTAATGTATGAAACAATTGAAAAATCCAACGTAGAGTGCTTTTGTAAGCGCTACAATAACATGTAATGATATATATCATGCCATTTGCAGTCCGCAAGTCAGTACACCTGTCTGACGTTGACGTTGATTCTAAGGGCAGGCAGCAGTGAGCGCATGGCAGCAGGGAGCAGGCCGCCAGAGGACAGTGGAGCAAGGAGCGCAGGAGGGATGTCAGCCTCGCGTGGGTCGGAGAATATGCGAGGGACTCCTAAGGGGGGAAACGGGATGCGGGGTTGGGTGTGGGGAGGGGGAAGGGGATGGGATGGGAGGGAGAGGTGGGGGAACAATGGGGCGGGATGAGGGGGGTGGCTTGGGAAGGGGTTGCAGGGTGAGCATGGGTGGAGCACGAGTGACAAGCGCTAGAACAATGTGGTCTGCATGGAGCAGCTTTCTAGCACTTGACGGACCGTAGCATACCGCACTGTCAATGTAGGTACCCACCCATGTCCCTCTCACATCATCCTACCAGCACGCATCACACGCACACCTAACATGTGGCATGATGGCGTGCATCGCCGCGCCATGTTCACCCAACTGACACCATCGTGCTCTCTCTTGCTCAAGCTCACCCACTATCTTTCCTGCCACTTACTTTCCTCCCCCACTCCTTCCGACCCCCACAAACACACACACCGTGCACGCACATGGTCCCCCCCCCACCACACCCAGCACCCTGCACTGTGCCCAATTCTGCTACGAACAAGCGCATAGCCCTCCCTGCGTTACACATACGCAAAGCCCACGCGCACACACCCGCATGCCCTCCAGCACCCACCGTGGAAGCACCCCCAGGCACCCACCGTGGAAGCACTCCCTGCAGGGCCCCGCCATGAGCAGCACGTCCCCGCTGCGCACCACCACCGCCATCGGTGCCTCCTCGCGACTGCGCCCCCCCAGCAGAAACACTGCCTTGCACCCCAGACTGGTGCACAGGAGGTGCGGGAGAGGACGAGCAGGGCGGGAAAGGAGGGGCCGCAGGAGGGGTGAGGTGGGACACGGATGGGAAAGGAGACAAGAGGAGTGAGGGAAGGAGGGAGTGAAGAGGAGGGATGTAAAGATGAGGGAGTGAAGGGCCATGGATGGATCGTGCAGAGTGGAAACGTGATTAGGCAGTAAGGGCATGGAATGAGATGGCAATGGGACGTGCGAATGTAGAGAGGAGTGGCGGAATGTGGTGCAGGCCAGGGTGCTGGCTTGCACGCATGAAGACGTTGAAAAAGGAGCACTGGGGCCGCGACTCACCAGGGTCATCCAAGGTGCAAAAAACGGTTTCTGTATTTAAAGTTTTTTTTTTTTTTTTTTAACTTAAAAAAAAAGGGGGAAACAGACGGCCTGGTGGCGCTGGCAGTCTACATGCATCTAAAACGCCCTCCGCGTCCTCATACACCTCCTAGTTCACCTCGTACTAGTCCTCCTACTGCGGCCTTCCTCCTCCTACTACTCCAAGTCCCTCTACTCCGGCTGTGCTCCTCCACCTCCTCCTAGTTAGACATGGGCAGCATGCCGAGCCTGGCTCGACTCGGCTCGACTCGACCTCGAGCCAGGTAAAAGTCGAGCCGAGCCGACTCGACTCGACCCGAGCCGGCTGCCCCAAAATGGTTGGCTCGACTTGGGGATTCGGGGTCGAGCCAAGGGTCGGCTCGGCTCGACTCGCCAAAAGGATTTAGGCTGCAGATTTTGGAAAGACTTGCTACATCGCTGTTTTGGAGAGCTAAGGGTTCACTGAAGGCCAGCTTGTGTTTAGGGCAGCGTGGTGGCAATTTGGGACTTCGAATAGGTTGTTTAGTGGGTAGGGACGTTGAGACATCATGCAACACACATATGTGGAAATGGTCCCTTCCCTAAACCCTTAGATCCGTCCTACAACAGTATAAGGTAGTCGAAAATAATCTAAAGTAGTGGTGTTGGTGGAGTGAGGGCAAGCTATGGTGGCGAAATAGCCTAGAAGCACGCTTAGGCTCGCTGGAAATCGAAACTTAAATGGATTTTCGTCTTCCAGGGCGGTCGAATTTTGACCCCCCGCTGGCGAGCCGCGCGCTTCAGGAGTCGAGCCAAATTCGAGCCAAAGTCGAGCCCGCTCGACTTTGGCTCGCCATGAAATTTGCGACGAGTCGAGCCGAGCCCACGGCTCGACTGGCTCGACCCGACTCGGATCGAGCCGGCCAAAAAAAAGTCCCGGCTCGACTCGCCAAAAAGGCGAGTCGAGTCGAGCCGAGTCGAGCCAGGCTCGGCATGCTGCCCATGTCTACTCCTAGTAATCCTCATCCTCGCCCTACTAGTCCTCTTGCTCGCCCTAGTCGTCGTCCTCCTTCTCCTAGCCCTCCTCCTAAAGGGCACCACCGTTTTATACAACAGTACAAAAAACCGGTCGTTTTATACGACCTTTTTTTTGTACCAGTCGCAGAACACCACTTTCAGCCGTTTTAATCGTATTAAACGACCGATTTATACAATCCTGTTTTAAACGGTAAAAAAAAAAAAAAAAAAAAAACGCCATTTTTTTGCACCTTGGGGTCATCAGTGGGGAAGGCCTGCTGGCAGCGAGAGGCCTCCAGGGGCTGTGGTTGCGTTGGCACACCACACACCCAAAAGCCCCTTTGGCACACTGGTAACGCCTGGTTGCGCTTATCCAGCAGCAGGGGGGGGCATTTCTCCATGGCTGGGACCAGCGCGTACGCACCCAAACGCCCAACCTAACACCCCCCCAACATCCTCCCAACGGCCCTCTCCTCCCCCTATCATCCCCCTATCATCCCCCCGGCACCCCCCCATCATCCCCCATCATCCCCCCATCATCCCCCCATCATCCCCCCATCATCCCCCCATCATCCCCCCATCATCCCCCCATCATCCCCCCATCATCCCCCCATCATCCCCCCATCATCCCCCCATCATCCCCCCAGCATCCCCCCAGCATCCCCCCAGCACCCCCCCATCATCCCCCCACGGCCCACCTGATGCTGACGATGGGCTTGCTCCAATCCGCCTCCATGTCGTCCACATGGCCGCCCAGCATGTCCCCTGCCGCACGGGAGAAAGGGGGGGGGGCAGCGACAGGGACAAGGGACACGGGGGGGCCGGAGGTGTGGGGAGGGGATAGTGGCAGCACGGTGCCTGGTGCGGGTGCCGTGTGCATCACGGCTAGAAACCGATGGTTCTGACGAGAGAGAGCAGCAAGGCACTCCCCGCCGCCTTGTTCTATCACTTTGTTGCTTTCCTGTGCGCTGTAGCTCACGCCACACTGCCAGTGAAACAACCACCCGCAAAGGCCGGTGTGCACTTGAGTGAGGGGAGCACGAAGCCAGTGCGCTTCGCAAGGCACACGCCTGCTGCTAAGGGGAGCACGGGGTGTGCCAAGCATGCATCCCATCCCCCCCCACCAGCATCGTTCTGTGCTCTCCAGGAGCAAGGGCGGAGATTGCCCACTCGAATCCCCCATACAAACACCTTGTGGAGAGGCAGAGAGGCGGGGGGAGCAAGGACACCAAGGCGGGCAGGGGCAGCACAAGGCGGGCAGTGGGCACCTGGATGGTAGAAGTTGACGATGGCAGCTTCAGCGGAGAAGGCGGCATGGGGGGACGGCATGGCAGGCGCGGCCAGGCGCGACGCCAGGTGGGCGAGGAAGGCCGGGAAGGGGCGGGAGGGCAGAGAGGGGTCGTAGGACCGCTGCAGAGGAAACAAGGTGGGGGGAGGGAGCACGGGTAGGGTGAGTGTATGGCTGTGGGTAAGGCATGATGAGAAGAGAGGAAGAGAGTGGGTGTGAGGTGTGGAAAAAGGAAAATAAGAGAGTGCTCTCGGAACGAGGGATGGCATGGCAAGCACGCATGGTTCCTCCTACACTCGCTACAGTGTGCGCACGAAAACAGCCCACTAACCTCAAACATGCATGGCATTACATAACACAGGGGCGAGAGCACGCATGACTGAATGCGTGAATGAACGCATGCACGCATGCATCACCTTGCTCCAATCGAACTGGACGCCAAGGGTCGCCCACCGCAGCTTCCCAACCAACCACTCTGCATTCACGCCCCTGTCACGGCCCCCACACACCCCCTCCCCCCCCACACACCTCCCCTCACCTCCACACTTCTCTCTCCCCTGCTCCGCACACTGGCTCATTGCACCTGTGCTCTCACCCCTCTCCTCCACCACTTGTTCGCCCCCACTTTCCCTCGTCTCAAATGCACAACCCCTCCCCTCTCCTCCCCTTCCTTTGCCCCTCGCCGTATCCCCTCTCCCCGTCCCCCTCTCCCCCTCCCCCTCTAGCTCCTGGAACTCAAAGCAGCACGCGGCACCTGCCACGACCCCCCACCCGCTCTCCCCACCCCTCTCCCTTGCCTCCCCCGCCGTCTCCCTCCCCTCCCCACACTCACTCCGCCCCACCTCTCCTCCTCCCACGCATGGTCTTAGCACTGCACGGACCATTGGCCTCGTGGCACCCCCACCCTCAATGCCAACGTCGCCACAGCCACTGCTCCCATTCCCTTCCTCATTACTGCTGGTGTAATCGTTATTGTCATTGCCGCTCTCAGCACCCCCAGCAGCAGCAGCAGCAGCAGCAGCAGCAGGCGTGGCAGTGTCGCGGCGCGGGTCATAGGCAGCGCAGGAGACGGCGAAGGCGGGCCAGAGGCCGTGGATGGCGCCCAGCGCCGCATTGTGGTTGGTGCGGTTGGGCGGCTCTATGCTTTCGCACAGGGCCTCGCCTATCAGCTCCGCCTGCTGCTGCACCGTCAGCGCGCCGGGCAGGAAGAAAAACCCTGATTCCATGTGGCGCGGTGTGGCGTGGTGTGGTGTGGTGTGGTGTGGTGTGGCGTGGTGTGGTGTGGTGTGGTGTGGTGTGGCGTGGTGTGGTGTGGTGTGGTGTGATGTGGCGTGGCGTGGTGTGGTGTGGTGTGGTGTGGTGTGGTGTGGTGTGGTGTGGTGTGGTGTGGCGTGGTGTGGTGTGGTGTGGTGTGGTGTGGTGTGGTGTGGCGTGGCGTGGCGTGGCGTGGCGTGGCGTGGCGTGGCGTGGCGTGGTGTGGTGTGGTGTGGTGTGGTGTGGTGTGGTGTGGTGTGGGGATGGAGGGGAACAGAAGAGGGAAGAACGGGTGATGACAGGGGGTAGAGGAGATGGGGAAGAGGGTAGAGGAGAGGAGGGAGAGGTAAGAGGAGAGGGGAGAGAGGGTGGACAGGAGGGGGGACAGGTAAGAGGAGAGGGGGGCGAGAAAGGGCGAGGCATTACGGGTAAGGGAGGCTGGCTGGGAATTTGCATGGACAAGCAAGGGGGATTAGAGAAGGAGAACAACAGGAGGCAGGGAAAGGAGGCAGGCGAGCACACCAAGAATTCCGTGGCGTGAACGAAATTGATTGCACTCGCCAAAGCTTACACATGTCAGACAGCAAACGAGCAAGCGCACTCACTCACCCTCCCTGCCCTGCACAGTAAACACTGGGCAGTCCAGCCCCTCTACGCCCTCCACACGAACGATGCTGCTGCCAGGCACCGCCGCCACACATGCAGCACCACCACCACCTCTGCCACTGCCACCGTCGCCCATCCCCACTGTTTCCCCCCCCTGCAGCGAAGTGGCTGCGCCCTCCGCCAGCTGCCCCGTGGCCTGGAAGCGCTGCTCCAGCAGGCGGAAGTCCACCACCCCCGCCATCACGCCGTCCCCGCTGCCTCCCCTCGCATCCTCACTTGAGCCATGCCTGCAACCGCGCGGTTACATGCGGGAGAGGGGGAGGAAAGGCGGGGGGAGAGGGGGGGAAGGAGAGGAGAGGGGGGGAAGGAGAGGAGAGGGGAGGGGGAGGAGGGGAAGGGGAAGGGGAAGGGGAAGGGGAAGGGGAAGGGGAAGGGGAAGGGGAAGGGGAAGGGGAAGGGGAAGGGAAGGGGAAGGGGAAGGGGAAGGGGAAGGGGAAGGGCCGGGACAATGCATGAGTGTAGGGAAAGCAAAGGTGAACGAATCTGATGAGCAACATATAAAAGTGAGTGCACGAATAGGGAAGAACGGGTGGATGGAGGATGGTACAGTGAGAGTTATACATGGTGTGGTTTTGGGGGAGAGACGGGGACGGAGACAGGGGTATGGGGCCAGCACAACATGGCGAGGAGCGTCGCCAACATACAAGTGTGGTAACCATCTTCGCGCGAACAGATCCAATTTCGCATCGAAGGCCGATGGGCCGTCAGATGCCAACTGCATTTTCGAAAGCGAGATTGAACCCCACGGCCCTCTTTTCCCACCAACCCCGACCCTCCCCACAACCCCACCTTCCCCCCCCCTTCCCCCTTCCCCCGCTCCCCCCCCGCCCGTCTCCCGCAACGGCACTGCGCACCCGCGGTGCTGCTGCGCGCGTCGGCGGCGGCGCTGCCCCGTGTCCTCCTTCACCAGCTTGAACCGCTTCTCCGCCACGCGGAACGCCGTCCGCCCCCCCGCGCCGGTCCCCGCGCCCTCCCCCTCCCCCTCGCCCTCCCCCGCGTAGCTCATCCCGCGCGCCCGCCCCCCTCGCGGCGGTCTAGACCCCGCTGGCGGCGCCCACCAGCCCCTGCTCAGCTCCGCCCGACCCGCGGCTGCCTGCTGCGCAGTAGCTCCGCGCCTTCGCCGTGCCTCGGGCGGCGAGGGGAAAACAAGCGGATGACTCTCCTTCACGGAAGGACCCGTTAAGTTATTAGCGTGCAATCTTTGAAGGTGCCTAAAGGTCGAGGGTGCACAATGGGCAGGAAGCTTGCGACGCGGTTTGGCCGCCGACGCGGAGAACTCGGCGAGAGGAATGCGGACCGCAAGTATTGCTGCCACGTGGCACATGCGCGGCGGAAGCAGCACGCGAGAGATCGGCATTCAGTGGGACTTGCAGATATCGGGAGGGGGAGGAAGGGAGTCGTGCTGGTTAAGTGTGGGTTTAGAATGGTGCAGCCGAACGGCCTAGTAGCGAAAGAGAAGGTCGGCGGAAAACGTGAATAACAAGGCTGAAAAATACATGCGATTGAAGCATTTATAGGCTAAAGGCGCTGCATGGTAACGCCTATGAGGAGTGTTATGATATAGGAAGTGTCAATGAAATATAGCGTGAGAATACAAGGTCGCTATTGCAATGAAGGCACGAGGTTATATAGGGGTTGGCGTGCTAGGGCGATAACCTCAGAACTTGGGTAGGTTCGGCAATGTGACGACAGTGCCGGACGCGACGCGGGAAAGGGTTGGGCCGACAAATGAGGCCGAACGTGACGATTCGAGTTCGAGTGTACGCGCTAGCGTACGACTCAGTAAGGAATGAAAATTCCTTACACTACCCCCCCCCTCCTAAACGAAGCCGTGGGCATCGGAAACATTCCGACCAGGCCAGACGTTTCAAAAAAAGGCTCTGAACCAACCCCTCCGGAAAAAAATTTATTCTGAAGGGTCTTCAGCCAAAATTTCTGCAGTCTGAAACGTCAGAGTCCCGAACTCAGTTGGTCTGATTTTCGCAGGGTCCTGCGAGTACAACCAGAGTAAAAATAGAGACTGAAATTTTGGGAAAATTTTAGGGCGCGAACTCTCCCATGTCGCTGCGAGGTGCGGACTGACTCTTATTCGAATGCATCTCAAAAAATGCTCCCTGCAACCTCATGAAAATTTTCAAGGGCTTGGAGCAGTTTATGTTTCGTTGATGGATGCGTACTCATGAATTGCAAGGGTAATGACGACAATACTCTAGCATGAAAACGTTTTTGCGTCTAGACGGGGAGAGACGTAACTCATATTTTCTAATAACAGTCGTTTCTCGTCAGTTGCCCGTTTGGTCAACTGAAAGTATATCAGAATTCGACGGCCTCGATCGATTGCGATCATTTCGACATGATTTGACCGTTCGATGGTAACTGCGATTGACGTCCAAGATCTCCCAGCTTGGGCGTTGCAAGGGCGCGAAGTTCCTCAGACTGCCCAATTCGCCAGCTTCCCCCTCTCCCCAGTTTCGATCCACCCCTCCCCCTCCATTTTCGATTCCCCCCCTTCCCCTCCATTTCGCTCCCCCCTCCCCTAAGAGAAGGTTTGTCTATGGGCTTGGGTTGCGGAGGGTGGGAAGACATATCTTAGCTGTCGTGGGAGGTATTTGGGTGGGGGGCGATATATGTGTTAAATCTATGTTTTTAACTTAGCCAAGCGTTTGGGTTGTTAGGGTTCGGGGTGTTCGGGAGAATGTTTCTGATAACCCCACTTAGCCGAAAATTTCGATGTGTTGTGGGGAAGTGGGGGATGTTTCTTGCGTTCGAGAACTTAGCCAAAACTTTCGATGGGTTGTGGGGTGTGTGGGGGATGTCTCTAGCGTTTTGGGACTTGGCATAATTTTTCGATGGATTGTGGGGTGTATGGGGGATTTGTCTAGCGATCGGGGACTTAGCCTAAATTTTCACGACCACCACCACCACTACCTGCGCCACCACCCCTACCACCCTAGCGACCACGGCCACCGCGGCGCGAGCGCTGCTGCGGGTGGACCGCAGCAACCGTCTCAGTGAGGGGGGTCGCCGTGGCGACCGCAGCCGAAACGTCAGTGAACGTGCACTGGGAGGGGGCACAGCCGTGAAAGATAGAGACTGCCGGCGCACCGCTCGACTGAGCGATGGTGCGCTGGCGAGTCTCGATCTCGGTGAGGGTGTTGACAAAGGCGGTGAGGGTGAGGTCAGCCGGGTGCAGGCTAAGGAAGTGATCGCGAGCACTAGCGAGGCGGTCTGGCAGGTGCATGGCGATAAAATACAGCGTCATGCAGAAAGGGGGGGGGAGCGCAGTGAGCTGGGCAGCAGTGCTGGCAGTGCGATAGCGGGTCTCTAGGGCACGCAGGTGAGTGGCAAAGTCTGCAACGGTAGGGAAAGCTGCAAGGTCTAGGAAAAGCATAGGGAAGAGCAGGCGACCAGCAGAAGCAGACGCGGGTGTGGAATAGCGGGCAATAACATCGTCTAAGTAAGCTTTGGCCGTCTCAATAGTAGCAAAACGCGAGCGCTCAGAGACAGGGAGGGCGTGACTAATGGCAACCTGAGCGACTGCATCGCGGGAGTCCCAGACCGCACGGGCAAGCGCAGCAGTAGAGAAGGTCTCACGGTCATCAGAGGAGGGATCAGCAGGGAGGGGAGCAGGTGCGGGGGGGCGGGGGAGCAAGCCGTCGACATGGACAACCAAAGAGTGGCCATCCTGGCGCTGACCTGTAAGGTGGCGGCGGAGATCGGAGAGCCAGGCGGCGAAGTCAACCGCATGGCCCTCGGCGTCCAGTCGGATCACGAAGTCCGCCATCGTGCAGGGTCAGCGGCAGAGCTCCACAGGAACACAGCGACGCAGGAACACAGCGACAGCCTCCTCCAGCACGGCAGCCGCGAAGCGCCTCAGGACGAGCGAGCAGAGGAGACGGAGCCCGAGGTGGCACGGCAGGATGAGCCGGGGCGAAGGGGCTAGGCAGGTGGGGTGGGGCCAGGCAGGTGCGACGGGGCCAGGCAGGTGCGACGGGCCAGACAGGGGCGGCGGGGCCAGGAGGCGCGGCAGGGCCAGGCAGGCGCGGCGGGGCCAGGCAGCGCGGCGGGGCCAGGCAGGCGCGGCGGGGCCAGGAGGCGCGGCAGGGCCAGGCAGGCGCAGCGGGGCCAGGAGGCGCGGCAGGGCCATGCAGGCGCGGCGGGGCCAGGAGGCGCGGCAGGGTCAGGCAGGCGCGGCGGGGCCAGGCAGGCACGGCGGGGCCAGGCAGGGGCGGCGGGGCTAGGAGGCGCGGCAGGGCCAGGTAGGCGCGACGGGGCCAGGCAGCGCGGTGGGGCCAGGCAGGCGCGGCGGGTGCTAGGAGGCACGAGGGGCCCAGGAGGGGCGCGACGGGCTAGGAGGCGCGGCAGGGGCCCAGGAGGGGCGCGACAGGCTGGGGGGCACGACAGGGGCCCAGGAGGGGCGTGACAGGTTAGGAGGCGCGACGGGGGGCCCAGGAGGGGGCGCGACGGGCTAGGAGGCACGGCAGGGGCCCAGGAGGGGCGTGACGGGCTAGGAGGCGCGATAGGGGCCCAGGAGGGGCGCGACAGGCTAGGAGGCGCGGCAGGGGCCCAGGAGGGGCGCGACAGGTTAGGAGGCGCGACGGGGGCCCAGGAGGGGCGCGACGGGCTAGGAGGCGCGGCAGGGGCCCATGAGGGGCGTGACGAGCTAGGAGGCGCGATAGGGGCCCAGGAGGGGCGCGACAGGCTAGGAGGTGCGACGGGGGGCCCATGAGGGGCGCGACAGGCTAGGAGGCGCGACGGGGGGCCCAGGAGGGGCGCGACGGGGCCTAGGTGGGGGCGGCGCAACTGGGCCTAGGTGAAAGCGCGACGGGGCCTAGGTGAAAGCGCGACGGGGCCTAGGAGGCACGGGCGGAAGCGGTAGGTGGGGGGGGGTCGAACCTACGGGTGATACCATGTCGAGAAGAAAACTGAACAAGTGTTATCGATAGAGAGAGAGAGAACAAGCGTATATACCTAAGAGTGTTGTACCCTTTAAGAGGTGACCCTATATAGTCTATACAAATATGAATTATACATATGTTTGACAGTTATCCCCTTTACAGTAGGATGCAGTAGCACAACTACCAAGCCTAAAATTATATACAATATAATTTGAACATAGGGGAGATATATCGTTTGGGTTGTACCCTCTAAAAACATACCCTATCTAGCCTATAACTTAAATAACAATATATACCGTATGTATAAGTTGACAGTTTTCTCTTTTAGTGGTCATCTTCAGTTGCTCATTTCTTGCTCAACACTACGCCTTATGCTGCCTAAGGGATGTGTCAACTTTTACATATGTTTTTAGGGGGCTAGATGGGTGTCTGTTTTTAGAAGGTATTTCTTACCCTTATTTCTACTCATTCTCATCAATCATCACCTTCTACTCATCAACTATACATCAATTTGGCTACTTATTACAGCTTTGGTCAGATCAATCGAACGTTAAACGTAGGGTGATGAATGAAAGACCACACCAGTTCAAGCTCCATCCCCAAAACCAGGCTCCAAAACAGTCTCCTGCTCACTGCACAATCCTGTGTACATGTTGAATGAAGATTCAAAATTGTACAGTCATGTATGCCATGTGAATGGCCATTGTCCACCAACTGGGAAAACCAACCGCTGAAGTGGCTGGATACCTTAGGGACCTCGGGAACGTCGGGAGTGGCAAGCACGCCACGTCTTATATTAGTCAGCGCCAGTCAGAGTCGAAAACCGTTGTCAGTCGTCCGTCAGAAGTTAGATGTCTGCCATAAAGCTGTCAGCGAGAAGAACGGCTCCTGCAGCTGGTACTGCGACTGAAAATGGTTTGTTACGAAACAGGTATTTCCGTTGCCTTCCACAAGTCTCCATGCCTCCGTCGACTTCGCGTCTCTTCCGCAGAGATTTCACCATGTTAGTCTCGTGATCAGTCAGCGGAGCAATATTTCTGCTAACCATGCAGATGCTGCTGTAGTTATCGTAAAGAATCTTCTGGTTGCAATTCTTGTCGCATATGTGTGTTGTATTGCTACTTCGGCACCTGCAGCACCAGGAGGGAGCGTTAAAGATGATATACTCAGACATCAAACCCGCGTGCAGCTCTGTGAGCGACATCTACCTGTATAGATTAGCCCACACGTGTTGAATGTCGCAAGTATGCTTGCACTTGTGTAAAAAGGAGTCGACGCTTTGGGAGAGGTACACAACATTCGACGAGTCGGAAACCTTTCCCCACTCCATTCTGTCTAAACCAGGCTCGCTAGACTGGAGATGGGAAGGAAGGAGCATACTGAATAATTGCAGCAACTGGAATGCAAGTTGGGTTTATCCTTGATGGGACAGAAGTGCTGTCCTCGCTGGTTTGCTGATCAGCTTGTTGGAGGAGAAACCCAGGGATCGGCTTTCAAACCTAGAAATCTGGTCAGCCTGCTGAATAAACAAAGCCAGCGCAGTGTATTGTACCCTGTCGGTGAAATCACGATCTCCCTAAGTTCGCAAATTTTTGAAATTTGCCTTGCCTGAAACCCGGGGTGGTTCGATTGTCCCGAGGTATAGCGCGCCAAGCGTGCGAGGCGCGTAGCATCTTGTCTCTAGAAACGGCCGACATCAACTGACATTGGTTCACAAAGCGCGCCGATAAAACTGGCACATATCTAATGGCTGCGAAGCGATCCAGGAAAGGCCATCCTGGCTCTGACTGCAGTGAGGCGTCATCCATTCGTCCTTCGAGCAACTACAGCCTGTCACTGCCACTTATCTCATGGGCGCACTTTCTAGCCAGGGTTGCAACAGAAAGTGACGACTATAGGGCCACGTGTTCTAACGCAGAGCAAATAGGAAAACAATCCCCACCACCGCTAATGCCACGCGCCAGTCACGGCATCATCAGTGGAGGCTGACCTTGTTGACATCCACAACAGCGTTTCGAGGGAAGAAATCAAGAATCGTAAATACAATAAGGAAATCGCCTTCAGTGAAAAAGTGAAATAAAGCGCAAATAGTGTGTAGGAGTGAGGAACGAGGAAACAATACCTACAATTGAGGCAACATCAAAACAGCAGGGAGCATGTATATAGCTAGCCTAGAGCACACGGTCATGGCTTGGCAGAGCTGCGACGTGTGGTTCATAAATTGGCGCGAGATCTCAAAGTAACGAATTAAACGAAGAATGAGACAAAACACTGTGGTTTTGTGCTATGGGGTTGTACTCTCTAAGAGTACGCACCTATCTAGCCTACAGTAATATATACACATATGTTTGACACACCCCCTAGGCTAGATGAGGGGCAGTCGCGGACAAAGGACACGCAGCACAGGGTGGCACTACTAGTCCAACCTCTGAGGCAAGGGTCCGCAGATTAGTCAGCAAGAGTACAAACAGAACAAGAGTAACCCAGTGCGGCACTACTAGTCCATCAACTGGAACAAGAGCCACAAGGCCAGTCAAGATAATATAAGAGGAAATATATAGTACAGCAGAGCCCTATCAAGTAACAAGCTGAAGGAACTAGACCAAGCTGACACAGTGCCGCTGATAATCTTTAGGCGCAAGCGCCTTCGTAAAGTTATCAGCTGTGTTGGCACCAGAAGCCAAGTGTACTACGCGGGCCTGGCGGCGCTGCTGTAGCTCGCGCATGAGGAAGTACCGTAGCTGGATGTGCTTCGCACTGCCCTCAAGTCGAGGCTCCTGATACTGGAGGATCATGGCCCTGTTGTCAGCGTATACGACCGGGGCAGAGGTAGGCTGCTCACTTAAGTCAGTGAGCAAGAAAGTCAGCCAGCGGAGCTCCAGTGCCGCTATGGCACCAACGTAGAACTCAGCCTTACAGCTAGACTGAGCAACAGACGACGAGCGGGTGGACCTCCACGAGACGGAACCTGCACAAAGGCTAAAGCAGCAGCCCTGGGAGGACCTGAGAGTCACACCATCGTATGCACACGAAGCGTCTGTATGCACTATAAGGACCACTGGCCTGCGTTCTCCTAGCACTAGCACCCATGCCCGATGCCCTAGCTCTACTGACTCCTCAGGGACTCGAACTGAGAGCCTATGAACTATTGGCAGAGACATGCGCTGTGCGGACCAGAACTGAAGACCAAACCTCTGAAGGACCTAGTGCACCAAGTGGGACTGTGTGAAAGTGATGGTGCGCGCTGCTCTGTCCCTAGAGATCTGCAGGCCAAGGTAGCAGCTAAGCACTCCTAGGTCAGTACAGATGTTTCTCCTCAGCAGCTTAGCCTTCACGGAGGCCAGTGCGTCTCTGTCTGCAGTAGCAAAGACCAGGTCGTCTACATAGACAAGGATATACAGTAGAACGGGGACTGGCCTGAACGAACGAAGAGCGAAGGGTCTTTAGAGGATGGGAACAATTGTAGGTCAGCTAACGTAGCACGAAGTGTGTCGTGCCACTCGCGCGGTGCCTACTGGAGGCCGTAAACCTGGCGTCGGAGGAGCCACTGGGTCCTCGGGGCGAAGGTGCCGGGGAAGCCTGGCTGGCGACGCAGGTAGACCTGCTCGTGCAAACTTCCCTGAAGAAACGCTGTCAAGAGGTTGAGAGAGTGCAGCTCGTAGTCACACTATGCTGCTACGTGTAGCAGCGCCCGAAGAGCAGTCATCTTCGTGGTTGGGGCGGAGGTCTGAAAGAAGTCAACACCCTCGCGCTGACTAAAGCCTCTAGAACCGTAGCGCATTTTGAACACCTGCGGCTCTCCAGGAGGGCGCTTCACATTGAAGAGCCACAGGCCATCGACTACGTTTACCCCAGGTAGGGGAACTGCGTTGACATAGGTGCCGGTAGGCCTCCAAGATGCCATATACGCGTCCATGGCAGCTATCCGCTGAGAGGCCCAGGGTCCCGAGATCGCCTCAGCGTAAGTGCGATGTGTCGGAATTTCAAGGGCGTTTGGGTCACCCTCAGGGACTAGCAGCATGGAGCAGAGATGAGGCGCGGCCCCGGAAAGGAAAGCTAGCTCGTACTGCCGGTCCTCTAGAATGTCAGTGCCAAGGGCAAACACACCACGGACGGACGGAGGACGGGCAGGGTTTGAGACAAGAGCGGTGGCGTAGTCAAGGCGAGAGGAAGAGGCAAACTCAATGATGGCAATGACAAGAGCGTCAAGACTAGAGACAAGAACAGACGGGTCTGTAACAAGAGAGGCGAGGACTCGAGGAACAAGAGGACTACCTGCACGGAGGAAGTCCGACAGGGGAGGCGGAGCGACAACCTGCGACGATGGAGGAGGCGACGGGAGGAGGGGAGGAAGAGATATGTGGGAGTGAGATAGGGTGAGAGCGGTGGACAGGAGAGACGGGACGAGAACGATAGGGACGGCGAGACCAGAAGTGGGACGTGTGCGTCAGGTCAAGAGATACAGGAGGAGACTCAGGAGGAGAACGAGGGGGGCAATGAGCCGGAGACGAGTGCGGCGGAGGAAACACAGGACCGTAGACATGTGGGGGAGGCGAAGGTGGGCGGACAGGGGAGGGAAGACCGAGGAGGCGAAGGGTGGACACCAGCGGCGACTTCTGCTACTACTCCACACCGATTCCAGAACCTCCAGTTGCACCACTGCGAGCATTGGGACGCTCCACGACAGCACCCTTAGAAAGAGACCCCTCTCCAGCACGGCTACCACCCACAGGACCGCCGTGACAAGCCACGACAGTAGCCCCACGACTAGCACCCTCCCCAACGCCCACACTCCCAGTGCTCGTGGACCCCTGCGGCAGCGACGGTGGTGGCGGCGTTGACGGCTGCTGCGGCGGCTGCGACGGCGGAGACAGCTTCTGCTGCTACAGCGACGACAACGGGTGCTGCGGTGGCGGAGGAGGAGGAGACACCTCGGCGGAGGCGGGCAGCGAAACCGAAGCCGCAGGTCCCCCGGAGTCAGCCGACTCCTCCACCGGGACAACCGCCAGGAGGGGAGTGACGTGAGACAAACCAGACGCGGTAGGACAGGGAGGAAGAGGAGCAGGGGCTACTGGGGGAGTGGGGACCAGGAACAGGGGCGAGGCAACCAGGAGACCTCGGTGGGGAAAGCGGGTGTAGAAGAAGACATACTAATCAAAAGCGACGTCATTAGTGTGAAAGAAACGATGAGACGGTGAGTGGTAAAAGTGCCAGTCAAACGCATCCAGGGGGAAACCAAGGAAGACACAAGGGACAGTGCGGGCATTGAGCTTGTCCGTGCCAAAAGCACGAACACGAGCAAGGCAGCCCCAGACATGGAATGCAGACACGTCATCAGGGAACCCGGTCTAGAGGAGGGTCGGCGAAACCTGCGGCCGCTAAGAGTGCGGCCACAGGTTAAGCTGGTGAGCGGCGTAGCGAACAGCGAACGGTCACTGAAAATGGGGTGCATCGGCATGGATCATGGAGGTACGAGCCACCTCCATGACAAAACCGATGCGTCGCTTAGTGACCCCATTCTGCTGCAGGGAGTCCGGCAGGGTGTACTATTGGGTGATGCCCTCCGCACGACAGAACTGGCCAAGCCGACCAGAGAGGATCTTGCCGCCATGGTCACAGTGAAGACGTAGCACAGGGAGGCCAACGTGGATGCGCGCAGCTACAACCCACGGGATAAGAACGTCAGGCTCGTCGGCCTTACGCTCCAGGGGAAACACCGTGGTGTAGCGCATGTAGTCATCGACAAGCACTAGAAAGTAGCGCTCTCGACACAGCCCAGGGACGAGGGCTGGCCCCAAACGTCCAACTGCAGGGTTTGGATTGGCACACTTGTAAGGGGAAGCAAGGAGGAGTGAGGAGCACGGCGTAGCCGGCCCTCAAAACAGGGCATGCACAGCGGTGCGGGTGAGGGAGGGAGGGCAGGGAGCGACGCAGGACGACCTAAGACAAGACCGTCATGGGATACTCGACACATACGCGGGAGTGCGGGGTGACCTAGGCGGTGGTGCCACATCAGCGACGGGTGAGTGAGTGACCGACACGAGCAAGCCAAAACAACCTGGGAGGACGCGGTGACATGGGGTGACGCTCCTACCGGGGGGGACGCGGTGTCTAGGGTGAGCAGGCCAGACACGGGGTCCCAGGGTAACGTGGTGAGCGAGGCACCAGTGGCGGCCTCGGTACAGACTGCGTACCGCTTGTGTCCAGGAAATGTAGTGGTAATGCCGAGGCCCTGAAGATAGTCAACACCAACTAGGTTCCTGGAGAACGAGGGGATGTGCAAGCCTGTAAGAGAGCCCGAGGGAACCGTCGGACAGGGAAGGGTAGTGGAGCTACGGGCAACTACCTGACCTGAGGAGGGGTCAGCAAGCGCTACAGCGACAGGGGCAGCAAGAGGCGTGAGAGCAGTGCGGTCGCGAAAGAAGCAGGCGGATGCACCAGAGTCTAGCGTGAACGAGAGCGTGGCGGTAGCGGCCACAGGCGGAGGAGCTAGAGTGGAGCCGAGG